GTCCTCCTCCCGCGCCGTCACGGGCCGCTCGCCCGAACGCCGGAACACGAGCGGGTTGGCATTCTCCAGCGCCGGCGCCGGCCCCGGCCCCACCATGGCCGCCGCCCGCTCACCACTTCCGGGGGTTGGGCGGAAGGGGAAGGACCTCGCAGAAACGCTTCCGGCCCCCTTGGGGCCAATGTCGCCTAGGCAGCCAGGGTGGGGGCGGGGTTAGAGTGGGGGCCAGGTATGCGGGGTCCAGAGCGAGGCTGGCGGGCTGCGCTGGGGCAGAGTCGGGATGTGGCTGTTCGGGGTTGTGCTCTGCGCTGTCGGCCTCGTTCCGGCCGCGGGTAACGGCTGCGGGGGGTGCGTGTGCGTGTACACGTGGGTGCATCCATGCATGTCTGGGTGCACATATGCGTGTGCATGCACGGGGGGTGTGCATGTCTGTCTGCAAGCATATGGGGGGGTGCATGTGTGGGGGGGTGTATGCCCATGGGGGTGTGCATGTGTGGAGGAGTGTACTGACTGTGTGCACATGGGGTGTGCACGCTTGTGAGGGTGTGTGCTGGGGATTTCAGCCCCTGGAAGCTGGGCGTTGTTTCACGGGAGGGTCTTCCCAGCGTGGCCGGGCTGTGAGGTGCCTGGCCCTGCGAGGCAGCAGGCATTGGGGGAGGCGGGGGGAGTCTGGTTTGGCACCGTGGAGAGCGCCCGCCCGCACTGCCGGCTCCCTCGTGTGAGAGCACATGGGCACGGGGCAGTAACGGGGGCACCAGCATCTTCTCAGTCTTGGGGAAGATCCTGTGCCATCCCCGGAGCTTTCTCAGAAACGTGCGTGGGAAAAACGGGACGTAACGGTTTGCTTCTGAAAGCAGGGGCACAAGGCACTGGTGGCGTGGGCAGCTTGCTCGCCCCAACTCAATTTAACAATTCAGTTGTGTTTTCATTCAGCGACAAAAGAGCTGCGGCAGACCGTCACCCCGAACCGACCTCTGCCCCTTCAGTTCCTTTCTTAACCCAGTTTGTGAATGTGGCTTGTTGTATAATTTGTTTCTATCTTCTCTCTGCGAACTTTGCCTGGTCTTTCGTAACCTGTGTGTCACAAACCTCCATAATTATTCTAACTCCTTTTCATGCTTGGCACTTGGTGTGTAACGGGCAGTCTTTGACTCGCCGCGTCAGGTAAATAACCAGCATGGCAGACTTTATCTTGCACTTTTTTTAAAAAAAATCTTATTCAATGAGTTGATGTCCCTTTTGGTTCATAGCGAGTAGTAAACTGAATGGAGTCTCCTCAAAACATTTCATGGTTGTGGGGTAAAAGTGTGCATTGCAGTTCTGTTGCCTGAGACTAAAGCCAGATCCTGCGATGTGTGTATGTGCTTGTAGTTTTAGTGATTATTGAGGCCAGTCAGTAACCTAGAAAGTACAGCGCAACATAGTAATAGTATAAAAATGGATAGATGTCCTTTTTAAGCGTAAGTATTACGTGGCTGTAGTAGAAATGATATTTTAGACTTTTTTCCAAATAATTTTATTTCTTAGACTTTTTAATCTGCCTTCTACTTTGGATTTCTTAGTCTCTCTTCTGAGATACTGAATCTTTCTATGTGGGCAAACAGCATGTTGTGTGACTAGGCACAAAAGCTTTAGCTGGAAAGTTGGATACATAAAGAAATGTTTCTTTGCGGTATATGAGAAGCAAAGGTTTTTTTAGTAACACCTTTTATTATACTAACTGAAGAGTTGTACTATGTACTATGTAACTATGTACCCTTCTTTACTACTAGGAATAGTGGAGATAAAACATTAACTTCAGCATGTCCATGAAAACAGCCGCTTAAAGAAGTAGTGAGAGGTCATAAGCTGGGGGTGGAAATGGAAGAAGTTTGCAAAAGCCAGAGTAAAGAAGGTATCAGAAATACTTAGAAAACCAGTGAAAGACAATTGAACTTACATAACCTAATTTTGGGAAAGAAGATCATTCAAAAGAAAAGAAACAGAGCAGGTAAATTGTAATGCACCTTTTATTTATTGCTTAGCCCATAATTTTTAGGGGTCAGTACAGCTTAGAATTTGTGTTCCCAGGCCTGTTTTCTAAAGGTATTTTGTAGATTTTCCTCAAGTACAAGGATTGGGGAAACCACAATAGAGGGATAGTTCTTTGGAAACTGTTCTCTTCTATTGACTATGTATTTCCATCCTTTACCATGTTTCTGTAAGAGTTCATTCCAAAGTATGGTGGTGGCAATTACCCCTACAGTATTAGCAACAGAAACCTCTTGTTTCTTGCATATTTCCTGGACCATGAACACTTATGGCAAATGCAGTCACCTGGTGGTCTTGACTGGATTCTGTCTGCTTGCAATGACACCATAAGCCTCTTTGTAAAAAAAAAAAAAAAAAAAAAAAAAAAAAAAAAAAAAAGAGAGAGAGAGAGACAATGGATTTGAACTAGAGAATCTAATGGAAGTGTGGAAAAATGTACATATCCATACTCAATGTGTTTTTAAAAAGTTAAGCACATTTCAAAAAACTATGCCTTGCTGCAAAAGAATTCTGAAGTGTATTTTTATGAACATTTTCTTTCTGTATACTCCACTTCTTACACATGCTGTGTAAATGTATAATTTACTTAAATACAGAGCACAACACTAACACTGATCTGTTTTTTTTTCCTTTTGCTTACCTTGTCTCTGTATATCAGATGCCTACGTAAATAGGAATGCTTTGATTCCACTGCCTACTTGGTAAAGTACTTGTCCCCCTCTAACCTTAATTCTTGAGACCTGACTAATGCTGTCAGTGTCCAGGCTTCTAACGCAGCTCTGAACTGCCTCGCTTCTCCTGGCTTCAGAGAGGCTGAGGCTGCTGACAGACATTCAGTTAAAAGATCAATGGTATCTGATCACCAATCCCAACAGTTACGCCTCCTGCAGGGGGATGAATTTGGGATTGGGGATTGCATCCCAATCGCACCCTACTTGCCAGTGCAAGGGGAGCCCAGGATCCTGAGCCCAGGCTCCCCCTGCATTGCGAGGGTGCCTGGCTGGCTTTGGCGCCCAGTTTGAGCCTTGCTGCAGTCCCTGGAGCAGTTGACAATCAGATGATTCTCAGCTGGATTGAAGCCATACCAGGCTTGAACTTTAGTGTGATCCCCGCCAGCCAACAATCAGCTGATAGTTGGCAGTATCGGGGCTGCACCAAGCAGCCCCAGTCCTGATCCTGCTACTGAACAGCTGATTGTCAGCAGCATTAGGGCTGTACTGGGGTTTGAGCCCTGGTGCCATCCTAGAACCAGCAGACAATCAGCTGGCCCAGAGAGACCATATGGAGCTAGCTGGAGACCCTGGTGGAGTCCACTCAGCCACATATTCATTTTAAGGCATCGTGAAAGCCAGCCGCAGAGTTGTTATGCGTTTACTATGTATTAATTTTGTGGCTTTTTTGTGCCATTACCCTTCTGAACATGTAGCCAGTTGCATTCAAACAGTTAATTGTTAAAAAATGTCATCTTGAGTATAACATTTGCCAGGGGCCAAATATAGGCATATGGTGCTGTGAGAAACAGGAGTCTTAAAGGGCCATGAGAAATTTAGAGCAGGCAGTTTCTGTACCGAATTAGCATTGTTCACCTTGAGTCCCAGAGGTGCAAAGTCCCAGTAAGTCCATACCCTTTTTCAGGACTGGGGCTAAATATATAAACAAAGTAATAGTTTTAGGCTTTTGTAATAATTTCACAATATTTAGAGAAATCCATTCATGAACACTTACCACTTTCTTTTGTTGCACGATACTTAAATACGCATGGTGCTTTCTGAATGAGCAGTGCCACAAGTTCATGGCACACCAGTTTGGTCTGCCAATTCTTTATATGGCAGAAGAGGTTTGCAGTGGTGTTCTGAAAGTTGTTTACCTGCAGATCATTTAGATCAGTGATTCTCAACCAGGGTCCGTAGGGCTACACAGTGCTTACTGCCGGGTATGCAAACATTTCACAACATAAACCCAGAGATTTTAAGTTGTATTAAATACTATGGATTCCTATCTGACCTGTTGTGGTCTTCATGAATTCTTTGCAACAGAAGAATTACTCAAGCATTTTTCTCTAGTCAAAAATGAGTATGAGTGAAAACTAAGAGCTGGCATTTTCCCAGGAGTGCCTCTTGTCTATCAAGGGGTGCCTTGAGTCTAAGTTGACTGAATACCACTTCTTTAGATACTGGTTATGGTCTACAAAGCTAGAAGAGTGTTTTTGCAGGGAGTAGAGCCTGGGCACGGATAGAATCCACAGCCAAATCCCAGAACTAAAAAGTATTCGGATAACATATCCCCAAGCAAAGAGAGCTTGGAAAATTTGGAATGCCATGTGATCACGTCCGTGTGCCCTGAAGTGGTTCTGGTGAAGAATGCCTACTGCCTCCTGTGTCATGTTGTACACTACCAACTTGTGAAAGGGCAGTATCAATATTGTGAAATTTTCTGTACTGTTGGAGTGAAGAAGCTGCTAATATGCATGCATAGCACATTCTGTCTTGGATGAACGTTACCATCACTGTGGGTAAAGCTGTGTGCCCTATTTACAAAGATTCATAGAAGTTTAGGGCTGGAAGGTGACCTCACATTGTGGTTCTGTTAGCCAACTATGTTAAAGTATTGGCATGTTGATTCAGGAGACTGTAAACATTGCTTAAACTTCTTTTATACTTCAGTGATATTTTCCTGATAAGCCTGCCCTGCCCACCTTTTTCATTAGAATTGGGTGGGGACAGTAATACTTACAACAAAGTGTTTTTATTAACCTCAAATGCCTGAACGGTGAGTGACCCCACTGATCACCAGCTAAATTAGCACTTTTTAAAAATATGTACAACACAAAGCCAAAGCAAAGAGCACGTTATGGGGGAGAGGAGAACAAAATTCCAGAAGACCGGGACGTCATTCTCCCCTTGTACTCGGCCTTGGTGAGGCCGCAGCTGGAGTACTGTGTCCAATTTTGGGCTCCACAATTCAAAAAGGATGTGGAGAAGCTTGAGAGAGTGCAGAGAAGAGCCACGCGCATAATCAGAGGTCAGGAAAAGAGATCTTATGACAACAGGCTAAGAGCCATGGGGCTCTTTCGCCTGGAAAAGCGCAGGCTCAGGGGTGATCTGATGGCCACCTATAAGTTTATCAGGGGTGACCACCAGGATCTGGGGGAAGGTTTGTTCACCAGAGCGCCCCAAGGGATGACGAGGTCAGACTGTCATAAACTACTGCGCGACCGTTTCAGGCTGGACATAAGGAAGAATTTCTTTACTGTCCGAGCCCCCAAGGTCTGGAATAGCCTGCCACCAGAGGTGGTTCAAGC